CCGCCCCTCTCCTCCTCCCCTCTCTCCCCGCCCTCCCGCTCGGGGCGCGCGTCGATGATGTCATCAAAGCCCGACAGCAGGGACAGCAGGCTGAGCTGCCCGGTGGGGGGCTTCACATCTGGAAGGGGGGAAGAAAACAGAAGGGAGGGGGCCAGCCCCCCGTCAGCAGGCCGGTAGGGCACCGTTATGGGGGGGCGTGCGCCCCAAAACCCCCCAGACGCGCCCTCTGACCTTTCCTCGCGAACTCCATTCCCCTCTTGAAGCCGGGAGGCACGGCCAGCAGGTCTGTGGGCGAGAGGGAACGCACGGCTCTTAGGAGAAAGGGCGACAGCAGACACGCCCCGTCCGCCTGCCCCACCACCCTCGTCGCCATCTTCATCGCCCTCCTCCTCCTCGGCCGCCCCTCCTCAGCCAACGGCAGCGCGCCGGCCCCGGGTCACCTGACTCACGGCGGCCAATCAGGACTCAGGAGCGAGAGCAGGGAACGGAGGGGTCAGAGGTCAGGGGGGCGGGGTGGGGTCGCACCCTCTCCCCCGGGGGCGAATCCTCACCGTTCTCGAAATCGATGTCCTCCTCCTTCTGCGTCTTGGTCTTGATCTGCTCCAGGCTGGGCTCGTCCATCCCCCCTGCGCGTGCACACACACACACACAGGGACACACACACACAGGGACTGGTCAGTGCCGGAGACGCAGGACAGCCGGGGGGAGGGGGGAGGGGGCAGGAGGGCGCCTTACCTGGCAGGAAGGGGTAGTTGGTGGTGCTGCCCCTCAGGCTCTGCCCCGGGGGGCCGGGGGGCCGCAGGAGGGAGAGAGAGTTCTTGCAGGAGAGGCCGGTGTCCTCCAGCAGCACCTGCGCACGCCGAGAGAGGGGGAGGGAGGGAGCGAGGGGGGGGGGTGTGAATTCGGAGCCGGTGTGTGTGTGTGTTTGGGGGAGGTGGCGGCGGCGGCGGCGGCGGACACGGGGCCTGACCTCGGCGAAGTCCAGCAGCTCGCCGGTGGTGGGGTTACGGACCACAGACAGGGAGGAGTGCAGGGGCGAGACCTGGCAGTGCAGCAGGGCGTCCAGCCGGGTGTCCCTCTTGACCGCTCTGTGGAGATACGGACGGACGGACAGAGAGACTCTGTGTTCACACCGGCACGAGGCTGTGACCCCGTGACCCCCACCCCCCCCCCGGGACCGCGGCGCTCACCGGCGGAACTTCTCGAAGGCGGCGTCCTTGTCGTGGAGGGGAAGCCATTCGGGGTCGCGCAGGAAGCGCTCCTCCACGTCGGCCAGCAGGTCGGGGGCGAAGGGCGGCAGGCCGTGGGGCAGCTGTGGGGGGGAGCGGACTC